GTGCGCGAGTTTTTCTCGTCTTTTATGCCTTATGACATCTTCATTAAAGGCATTACAAATACTTCAGTTACCATTATATTTCGTTTCTAGTGCAGCGTAAATTTATCAGCTTATCGTATTGCATTGTCGTAAAAACGTACTTTTTCTTGCACATCCAAAGAAGATGCTGCGTGAAAATGAACTCCGCTTTTCTCAGGAGTATTTAAAAGTTGTTTCAGGAAATTTTCATTTCCAACAGGATCCAAATAATCCACAGATTTGGATTATCACGAACGATCCTGCTGCAGCAGCACCTTCAAGTCGGCACGCAAATCATTCAAATAATCAGTCAGCTAGAATGCCTGGCGGATCTGAATCGTCCAATATGATGCCTCGTGATTACAAAATGGTAATGGATGACGTTATGCTTTTACTGTTTTCTCAAGTCCTTGATATCACTGTATTAGTGATCTAATGTAGTACTCTACAATGGGTGCCTACTGTGTAGGTTACCATACCGTTAGTTGCTAATGTGAAGCATTTGGTGATGAGTTTTAATTTCAGTCACAAACATTAACAGTCTTCACAATTTGTCAATTACTTTTGTAGAGTCGGGTGCCAAAACGTTGTGCGTGCACGTGTCCATACTGTCAGAACTCTAGCGCACCAAGAACGTAAGATTATTAAAGCCATTGAATGTGGGAAATACGAGGAATTGTCGGCGCTCATAATATTGATTTTAGAGGTGATGGAAAGCAGCGACTCCATATATGTCATATATGTCAGAAAATATATGGAAAAACGTCAAATTTGAGGCAATTTTTGAAGTCAAATTCAACTCCAGAAGTCGATTGCTCACAAAAGAAAAGGATCATTTATTGCAGGGCTCATCTTCGTGGACATGCTGGCAATAAACCGTTTGCTTGTGATTGGCAACATTGCACTAAACGTTTCACAAGGTTCGTGTCTTGACAAGCATCGATTTTGATGTGTGTCCACAAAATTTCTTGTCAAATGATTTCGTTTGAAGTTGTAAAAATTATTTTATGTGAGTTGAGACGAAGTTTGCGAGACAATATAGTCGTTACACGTTGTCACCTTAGATTTCAACAATGTTGGTTTTCTTTTGATATAGTTTTGATCTAACAGCAAAAATCTATCGACTGAGAGGTGGTGATGGTACAGTGTCATAGTACACTGTGCCATCATCACATACGCCACCCTCCTTGCTTCAATGCAGGGCTGAATGTGGGGCGGGGGTCACTGATGAGGAGGACGAACCTCCGAAACACCGGTGTATGACCCTGGGCTTACCAACCCCTTTTTTGAGCTTAAATCATTCTTTTTTTGGAATGTTGGTTTTGATTGTATCATACTTATTACTTCTGCTTACTTTCATTCGCAGAGATCTAACATCATTGTGTTGTTGAGCAATGTGTTTAGAAATGACGAACTGCAACGACATCGCCGTACTCATACTGGTGAGAAGAGATTTGCTTGTGGTGATTGTGGCAAGAAGTTTACGCGCTCGGACCATCTGACGAAACACGAACGGACCCACACCAGAAAACGTATGTTGATGACGCAACCACTGCGAGTGAATTACAACTGAAGTGCTATGATGGACATGATTGCAGCTACCTGCTTTTCTCAAAGTTTCCTCTTCTCGTTCATTTTGTACTAATTTAACATCTGCATAACAGTGCCTTTGTTGTTCGTTCATCAGACGAGCACATAACAACCGCAAAGACCAAAACGTTGCATTTCATCCAGATCTAATTCCAGAAGTTGATTTGTCTTTGTACAGTGCGCCAAACTAAAATCTCTCAGATTAGCATAAGTAGTAGTGTAGAGGCATATGTGAGTCATCCAGCATGATCGAAGAGGTTGAGTTAGTGCGTTCATCAAAAAATTCCTCAATTTCCTTCAAAATAGTGTTGTAACGTTTGACATAACTACATTTGTTTATTACTAATTTTAACGCACTTCTTTGAGCTGATCATGTTTGGAAAGGTAACCGATTGCCAAATTGAGTGTTTTATTTTTGCAATAATCAAGCATCCTAGTTCTGTTCAGACGCGATGATTAACACGATCTAAGATCAAGGTCTACCACTTCTCTTATTAGTTCGAAATCACCTTTCCCGGTTACTCTATCGTCTCGCCGTTTCATTAGCTCTGTTCAAGTCTGCTTCGATTCACTTCTTCGTTTTCCTTGCTATTCGGTTTTTTCTAACAGTGCTGCCAATACCAACTTGTTGATAGATTTTGGCTGTTTCAATATAAGGGAATCTTATGCCTAATGTTACGCTTGAAATCATGTTTTGCAGCATCAAATAGTCGAATTGTTTTGTTAGTAAGTCCTGTGGTAATTCGTTGTTTATTATTTGTACTGTTCAAAATGCCTTCTATGAAGTCGTCTAGCTCATTCAATAATGCTACTGTTTGGTAGGTAATCCATCCAAAAAGTAATCTGTTTTTTTTTTTGTAGAAAACAAACAATAGTTATGTATCAAACGTAGAGTCATATAAATGCGAAGTCTTTTTGCTATTTGGATTTTGAGTTTTATAAAAATTAAGTTTTAATTAGTTCAATTAATTGCGAAAAGTTTTTGCCAAAGCTACAAAGTTCTTGTTGGTCTCATTTTTGATTAGAATTTGATGTTCACATTTGTTAAATTAAATGAAGTAAAAGAGATGACGTGGAAGGATAGTTGCGAGTGACTGTGATAAACTCGCAACGGTGCACAGTACCTCCTGATTGAGATTAGGGTCCTTTCATGCTATACGGGGTCAAACGAAGAAACGACCCGTTCGCTGGACAAGGACTTTTCATAAGAGTATTAGTAGTCATTCTCAATCTCCAATCTCTGGCTGCTGCGCTACGTGGCCGTTTTTTGAAAAAGCCTTGTTATAACGGATGTAGCAGAAACATATGTTTCATACGCGCATGTTTCTCGTATAAGAGAACTTTGTTCTAAAATTAAAAGTATCCATTCGACAGGGTGATTTTAGACGATTCCAACGCTATGTTTATTTTCTGGAAAGACCGTTTCACTGCAGTGTAGTGGGAAGAAGAAGATCGAGTTTCACGTGCGTTTGCTAGTCGTCTTTTGTGTGTGTTGGGCATATACTGGACGTGGCTTAGTATGGCATTCGGCGATCGATTGATCAAATTTGCTAGCGGTTTACATATGTGACGTGCGATTTTTGTTATTTAGTATGGGATTTCTTTTCGCTTTGATAGAAACTCCAAATAGAACGTATGACTTTGATACTACAGGATTTCCTCTACGCGGTCAATTTGTTTTTCACGCGTCCAACGAAGTAATAAGCAAATGGGCGCGGCTGTGCAGAACGTGGTTTTATTTTCAGTGCCACATCGTTTTAAAAAGAGCTTTTCCAAAAAACTCCCACTTAGCACAGTAGCCAGAGAACTAAGAGTGCCAGAAATTTTTGTAGATTCTGCATTCGAAGATAAACATTCCGTCGGGCATATATGAAGCATTCATAACCAGTCCGCTCCCCTCAATATCGTTCTTGTTATGAGAGAAGCACGAGCTTCACATGCGTGCTTCGATACTTGAACCGAAGGTGTCCATCGATCCATATGTTTCGGTGTCTCGAAACACTAAAAAATTGGACTTTGTAATCCTTCCTCATTGACGGAATGGCGCGTTAAAGCACTGAACCTGATACGTGGCTTAAATACGAAAAATTCCACTTTTTCATTTCGTCATTCACTTTTTTTCCAAATTCTTTGTCTGGACATATTTTTCAAAATAAACATACTGAATAACCATAGTAAACGACAAATTAGTTCTGTTGTATTTGCTGTTCTTTCTTTGACCTTCTGGGGACCGTGAAGGTCTTTTTGATGCTCAGCGGGAGACGCGAAGTCTCACTCAGCTACTGTTCCCACAACCTCGACATTAGCGATCGGTTATATTTTCCTTGCTGGTTAAGCCACTAACACGAGGTTTACGATTGTTATTTTATTATGCAAGAGAATACGAGCAGCTTGGGGAACGTTTAAGAACATCGAAGATGTAGTGAAGAGGACTAAGAACATCCGACTCCGTGCCCACTTTTTCTACTCGACGATCATCCCTGCCCTAACGTATGCAGCAGAGACCTGGTCGCTGCGTAAGCAGCATGAAAGATCACTTGGCGTTATCGAGCGCGCAGTCAGAAGGTAGATGCTAGGTGTATCCTGTATCTCGCAAATGAGAGAAAGGATCCGAAGTTCCGACCTAGGTTAACGATCGAAAATCAGAGACGCCGTTCTACATACCAGGATATCAAAAATAAGGTGGGCCGGACACGTGATGCGCTTCAACGACAACCGATGAACGAGAGCCGTTACCGACTGGATTCCCCGGTATATGAAGCGCTATACGGGAAAACCGAAGATCCATTGGTCCGATATCTTAACGAAAGCTATAGAAGAAAGATATGATGCTCAGCGAATCCATAGAGCGAGAAGGACCCACTGGGCTATTCTTGCACGTGATAGGGAAGACTGGAAGTGTTGCTGGTACCCGCTCGAGTCACTTAACGATTGACGGGACGATAAGTGATACAGATGATTATATTTTACTGCATCGAATATTCGAATATGAGCGCTGTACTGCACAAGGAAATTCGACTCGAACAAGGGCGAAGTAAATATATACGCACTGATGTAGAGTGGTGTGCAGAACTTTCGCGTCAGGCGGTACTAGAGCCCGCGCCTCACTCTTTCCGGCATTGCTTGCTCTATCCGTTGCACTACTGACTCACATTTAGAAGCGGTTAAAGTTATTAATGTGTTAATATACTATGTTATGTTATTATGAAATAAAAAAGTTATTAACCGCTAAAAGCGGTTAATTAAAAAGAATCTTGTTTGATTTTTGATACCCAATATCTGTCAGCGTGACCGGGTTCTATGTCGAGACCGACTACCCGGGCCAGGCCGTTGACGGCTGGTGGCTGGCAGATAGGTGCACTGTAGAGTAGAAAGAGCGATGTGCAAAATGGGCGTGAGTAGTGTAACGGATAGAGCACGCATCACCGGAAAGAGTGAGGTGCGGGTTCTAATCCCGCCTGGCGCGAAAAATTTCCATATCACTCTACATCAATGGGTATATATTTGTAACATCATACCACTTCTAGAAGCGGTTAAATAAAAAGAATCTCGGATGGAATCTTTCTTTGCCTCCATGTAATGCACAAGTTTCGAGAAAAGTCCAATGGTGATGAATTTTAATGCAATTTTCTTTTTGAAAGTTGTAGCTGTAGCCATATTCTCTTTCTAGAATAATTGAATCAACTACTTTAATCACGAAAAAATTTTGCTGGGTTAAGCATTACAAATGTGATGACGGGCTATGTAAAATAAGTAAAATAAACAAGTTTTTGGAAAGACTGTAGAGGAAGTTTGGCTGATTAAAGGCGCTGAGAATGGATGGTCAATAATATCTGCGACTGATGCGCAAAAGTCATCCTTCTCTTTCACCCGGCTAAGAAGTATTACTTTTGATTACTACTCAATTTTACACAGCCTTTCATCACTATTTACAGCGCTTATTTCAGAACTTCATCATTTCGATTCGTTTCTTTGCATTTATCATCCTCAGAGGCCTTCGAACAGATCACACGCTGCTCCAGCTGCTGCCTAAAGATTTCGTCTTTTTCGTCTTTTTTCTCAATGTCGTAAAATCCTTTTGGTGGCGAAGACTGAACCAGCACCTTGCTTCTCACATGACTGGCCACTGCACTACCCATCCCAAAGCATAAAGAATGTTACTTTCAGAATCTCATAAATGAGAAATTTTGCAATGATTTATTGTCAAATTAACCTACCACTTTCTAGAAACATCCAAGTAATTTCTTACGTTAGCTCAAAAAATTAAGATATGTGTCTTTTATTTTCACCACTTTTTGCTGCTCCATACAACAAACAAAACAAGTAAATTACTGGGTGAACTGGTTTCATATCCACAACCTGTAAGGGTTATGGAAGAGAAACGAACACACGGCAGGCAGTGCCGTATCAAACGATTCTCGCTTTTTGCATTTATCTACTTATTTTGCGAAGTATTTTGGTTATTCAAATGCTAATCATTCCATCTGTTCAACACGAGCTGTTGCACGTGATTGGAATATGACATGAGCAGATGTGATACGGTAGAGACATATACGTCAAAATTTATCACGAAAACATTTCACCGGGTTCGTTACACCAATCGCTTGCATATCAAAATTTATTCTTCTACAAGATTCATTGTGTCCAACAAGTTGCTGCTCTTTTCCTTTCATTATATAGAGAGGTTTTTCGAATTGATTAAATTACTTGATCAAGAATGTTGCAACACAACTTGTTTTCAGTGATCCATTTCAGCCTGCCATAGAGTTTTTGAGCCGCTCTTTGTTCCTACTTTCCTCAAGTCTGTGTGCCAGGCGCAATCAATTCTGCTTACAAGAATCCAAGCTCTCGCGATTCTGCAGATAATGAAGAAACGGCATAGTTGCCAAAACTTTCATGACTGAAAACATTTTCTATGTCAAAGATTCTAAATCAAGCTTTCTTAAACATATGTCTGACTTGGATGGACTTCCCCTCAAACATCGCTTAAATAATGAGCCATTCGAATTGGTTCCCTGTCGTTCCTTTTGAGGTTGCTTATTTTCCTATATAAAGGCACCTGAGTGAAAAACCAGTTTTTCAAGAGGAAAGCAGAACGAAAGAAATGGCATCCTTTGCTTGACTGTGCGTCACGGAAGGTACGAAATAAAACTTTCTCCGTGGAATCGCGTCGAGCTATTGGGCTCAAATGAGATGCAGGAGAAACACGGAATCGCCTTCCTTTGATCCTTCACAACCTCCGTCATTTTTACATGTCATCACCATGGAACTACGTACCATTTAAGTGTGATTTACATTCATATTTAGAACAGAATGCACGAGCCACGAGCACGTACAAAATGCACGACTTTAGAGATTTCTGGATTCATTCTGATAATGAGGGAACAAATGAAAACCGATCTCATTCACTGGAGAGGAGCTTTTTATAGGGGTGTTAGTAATCATTCGAAAGCTGAAACCTGACCTAGTTTCTTTTTTCAGTTTTATTGTGCTGATCCTTCTCGCAACTTTCTTTCACTGGGTGGATCTCGGTCCTTCTAGTAGTCATTCCGTTTTTCATCGTCTTCCTGAACGTTGTAGAATAGTGGTCAAGCAGTTCTCCTTGACATCTCGAGGATAGCCTGGCTGTGGCGTTGCCTGAAGCGCGCTCGGCCCCACGAGCGCAGCGGCGAGCATCACCACTCGGCCGCGGTTCCTCCACCCCATCCCCAGTGTCGTCGTTATCTTAAACATTACGGCTATCTGTTCCGTCATGGCTCTGGCTTAAGTTAGTTTCACTCTGCTCATTTGCGTGCTCTGCTTCTCAGTCAAAATGTCTAGCCGTAGCCACATCCCACGCCACTCGTTGCTGAAGTTGATTGCACGGGTTGTTATCTTATCACTATTTTTCTCACCGCATACATATCATAGTACTACGTGTTCTCCACTAACCACTGGACCACCTCATCTTTGCAATAGCCACAACGTCTACTTCTATACCTTTGCTGTCATTTTTTGTTATTAATGTCGTACTATTGCCGAAAATATGTAGATTCACGAATTTGGGATAAAATCACACAATACGGTGTCGAATAAACAAGCTTTGTGTTGAAAGTTATTCGGCGTACTTCCAGTTGCTTTCCTTCTCGTCGGGTCTGAAGGCAAACGATTTCCAGCGGAGAAGTCGCCGTCATGGATGCAGCAGTTCGTCACTTATGGGGTTCATTTTCATTGTGAGCTTTTCAAAGATTTCTGACATCTATATGTTGTATCTAGTTGATAGGTGCATTTTTGGAAGAGTGAGAAAGTATTGCTGCAAATACTTCTAACTGTAGAAGTACATTAGAACTCATAGTCATTAGAATTTCTTCGTTGTTTAACTCTTTTTGTATATTGAGATTATTTTTGTCTGTGATTTGTCCAACTCTGAAGCACTTTGCCTTTAGCTTGCCAATCACAGTGCTGAGCTCAAGCGCCTTGAAAGAACAAATCCTGCAAGTGAGAACCATTTTATTATATTCTCTAGTGGTAGCTTCTCAATAAACTGCGCTTATCTTTTTCATTCTTTAGCTCAGCCACAAGCAATCACGAGATATTCGCAAATATGTGAAGAATGTATCAGTCCGATACCTGTCAAGTTTGATGCCGAACGAACGTGATCTGGATGATTGGATCGTCCTGCCCTTGTTTCAGAAAGGACAGATAAAGAACGGTGGAACCGCGAAACAATCTTTTAGAGATCCCCTTGCATTCGACTTTTTTAAGTGCCTTATAGGTGATCGAAGGAGTTTTTGGCCTATACAATCATTTACGGTGGCTTTCCAACATATATTAAAATTGCCTTGACAGCGAATCAAGCCAGTAAACAAATGAAAATTGCTCGCAAATTCTTCCTAGCCGCTCTTATCCTCACCTGTTCACCCTGTGCACTTTTACTGAAGTACACTGCAACTCTCGGTAGGACATAGGAATGATATGTAAAGAAAGTGGCTTCTAACTATTTCCCCTACAACATAATAAAGTATTAATACTCAAGAAAATAACAATGCGCGAAGAAACTAATACAACTTCATGTAATAAAAATGGCCGTTATTCATTTAGCCTAATTTCCTTAGACATTTCAGGACATCCCAATACAAAACCATGGGCGGGACCGCCATTTTACTCGCACAAGCGTCGACCTTACAGCGTATGCTCGAAGCACGCCAAGAGAAAATTGCGAATGAACAAGGAGCAAAGGAAGAGCAAACTCAGCAGACAGCGGAAAACGCGAAGCGTATGTGATGGCTGGGCAAGGTCGCTTTTATAATCCATGTTTCAAACTATTTAACACATTGGCTGCTTCATGATCCTTGATCCCTTTGCTTAATTGTTTTTATTGCTCGATAAATATTTTTCAGCCTTGCATATAGTCTGTTATGGGGGCTTATACAGCGCAAAACAGGTGACTCGGCTTAGTAGCCTCGTCCGATGCACAATGCCTTTCGTCTTCGTCAATCCCTTTTAGGAGAAACTCATCTGCCTTAAATAGAGGAGACGCAGACATACTATTCAGACGTGCTATCAAGTGAAAGAAATTGCTAAATGGGCAGTGTTGTATACTGGATTGCTCTTACCTGACATTTATGAAATATCATACGGCTCGTTTTTAGTTTTTTTAGACCACACTCAATATTCAGAGTCCCTGATAAATGAGTGGCTCAAGAAATCAGGAGTATTGAAATTTGAGCGTGGTCTCAGGAAAATACTCGAAACGAACGGTATGATATTTCATATCTTACAGCCAAGGGAAATCGAGTGTGCAACACTGCTCATTTAGTGGCGCCTCCTCTGTGTAAGGAAGTTGGGTTTCCTACCCAAGATGGACTGACTAGGACGAAAGGCTCGGTGCAACTGACGGGGCGGCAACGATGAAACATTTGTATGGCACTGTATAAGTGCCCATAACCTACTACATGCATAGCTAAAAAATATAATAAATGTATTCAACTTTGAGCGTAGTCTCAGAAATATACTCGAAACGACTTCTTAGGCTTCATTACATGCGCATGGTAGGCTGTATCAATTCTTTGTGGTATATAAATATCTCTTAAAGAGCAGTGAGCGTTTTTCAAGCTCACATATGCTCCGCGTGGCTCATGCAAGCTATACGAAGGCCAAAGGTGAATTCTGGTCAGGAATAACTCTATAGTACAGTTAGAAATATACAACAAACTTTTTCCAGTGATTATTGACAAAGAATTTGACAAAACCATTGCCTACTGTCTTACTTTCAGTACCATGAAAACTTAGTGTGTGGAGTATGCAAGTAAAGGAATTAGCGAGACAGACACGGCTAATAAAATTGCAAACGCTTCTAAGTACTGTCGGTAATGTACCTGCTTGATGTTCCGTAGTACAAACTATCCTCGCGTTGATCGGCGAGTGACTCGGAGCGGATGCCAATGAAACTTTTATTTTTCTCTGTCACATGCAAGAGTACCTAGT